TATTTCAAAAGGGTAGAACACTCCTTTAATTCATCATTTGTCAGTCGCCGGTTGATGGGGAGCCTGTCAAAAGTAAACTCGCTGCGTGGATGGTTGTGCTCCAGGTAGTAGGAAGTAACTCTCAAGCAGTCACGGTACCGGCGCACGTGGAACCTTGCCGGACAATCGGTACGACGTGTGCTACAACGTATACACAGTCAACCATTAAATTGCTAGGTGCCACGAATTCCACGGCTTCTGCTTCGTCTGCAGGGATGTCTGCTGCAACGGTAGGAGGCTTTTTCATACAAAAGTAGCAAATTGCTGCTCTTTTTGGAGTCTATACGGACGAAAACAAGTTAATATTTTGCCTGGTACTCTTTCAAAGCGACTTGAAATGCACTGAACGAGAAAAAACTTTGACGAGCTAAATTCTTCACGAATAATCCTCCTCGGCGTGCGTCTAGCCCACGGCCATTTTCTGCTGAAGCTTGTTTAATTTTCTCTTAGGTCTGAGATTGCACTTTTCCAATGACCCTTACGTTCTTTTCACGGTTATATTCTTTATATGGGCATACAGGGTCGGCGGTGAGAGTGCTTTTAAGCAATAGTTCATAAGGTTCATCCGGCAACTTATTGATTCCACAGCATTGGAGGATGACCGGATACGCTGGCGTAGGAGTGTGGCTGCCCGTTTCAGTCACGCCGAGCCATCTGATGGTTTAACTAACAGATGGGTGGGGATAATGTTGTCGTGAAGACATCGCTGGTTGAGGACACGATGGTCATCTCATTTCGTATATTTTTGACAACATAATTCGATTGTTTACAAATTTGGGAGTTCCGGGCCAGAATCCGCTCGAAGGATGTTGAAAAGATTCAGCGCCATGTGGTGTATAATGAAGAGCTCTTTTAATTACAAAGTCAAAGCCACTATGCTGTGTTTTGACCTTATAATTGAAAACTCATTATACACCACATGACTGAATCTTTTTAACACACTTCGATCTGATTTCACACGGAACTCCTAAAACAGACAGGTTCTGAACCATTTAGCACTATTGTCATAGAGTATATGATTGTTATTTCACCCTCCTTAAGCTCCTACCATCCCTCGCTACCGTCCCACCACAGTATCTCTGAGTCACTTTCCATTCACTGAATATGTTGTGGGTGACCACTGTCTTTCGGCGAACGGGTGGTACTTCCGGACCCGCTGCATTCAACCTCGGGATCCTCCAGTAGCGTGCCTTTACCCATAGGCTTCCACATTTTATCTTATTCTTCACGCCGTTATACGGTATCGGATCATCTTCGTGTTTTAAGCAGTCGATTGTAGAATCAAATTTGGCTGGAAGCCATGGCTCTGCTTTCTTCGCTTTCCCCGGAACGCCGTGAACTTGGGCGGCATTCCTGGCTTAAGTACGATGAAAATATGTTGAAAAAAATCCAGCACCTTTCCTACGTAAGCCGGCCCGGCCGAAGAGCAGTCGCAACACAACCTATTGTCTGTTAAGGTCCACCGACATCGT